AATTGACCTAGTTATTTGCTTAACACAATGAATTTGCAGTTGATTATCCGCGTAAACCAGTTCAACCAGGGTCTAGAGAATAGACTGAGTCCCTTCAAGGGAAGATGATCAAGAAATCTCGTATTAGAAGAAAGCCAATTTAGAATGCGTAAAGGGCATGGAAAGAGGACCCCACCGGCCAATCTAACCTTATAGGTGTGACACCATATCATTTGTTTCTCTCACTCTTTCTGAAGTACCATTTTATCTTCATATAAATACCAAAATCAATCTAAGTTATGTCATTTGTGGACTTTCCTGATATATTAGGGTTCGTTAGTGGTGAAAGGCGATTTTTACATACCCTTTTCTTGCTCGAAATCACCACCAGTCACACCTTTTCTTTTTCGTGATGAATGTATGCATTTTCTTCACATTTTGGTAAATCCATTTAATATTCATTTTTTTGTTTTTGTTTTTGCAGGTCTACCCAATTCTCTCTCCGTCGGAGGCCTTTGTCATTTGTGTAGACTTCTCCAAAAAACTAGGGTTTGTGTTTCAGGTTTGCTCGTTGGATTCATTGTTATTTTTTCCTATTTATTGTATGGTTAATTCGACTCTATGTCGGTCGTCCCCATCGATGCGGGCCGCGGTCGTCGGCCGACACGTTCGACTGCGGCCGCAGTTGTCGGCCAGCAAGCCGACAATTTTTTAAAATTTTAAAAAAAAATCATTTAGCATGTAAAAAAAATCTATATATATATAATTGCTGGCATGTAGCATTTAATAAAACATTTAATAAAACCTCTAAAATTTTACCTCCATTTTCGGTTACAAAATTTGTCATTAATATTTTTTACTTCTCACATTAATACATCTTTAATGAGTGTAATCATGTATGTTTCTATTATATTATATAATATTATATAATAGTTATTGCTAATACCAACTAATTATAATTCACAATAATTATAAATTACATAATTATAAATAATTGTTTCAAGTTATGTATTTTAACATCAATATTATCTTTTTCTTTTGTATCTCATAATAAAATTTCTTTAAACACAATTAGTAAATTATTTTGATAGCATAGTTAAATAACTTTAGAATCTTATAAACAGTTGTTTTTTAATAATATATATATATATATATATATATATATATATATATATAATTGCTAGCTTAGCATTTAATTTTACCTATTTAATAAAACCTCTAAAATTTTTTCTCTATTTTCAGTTACAAAATTTTTCATTAATATTTTTTACTTCTCACATTAACACATCCTATTAAGTGTAATCATGTATTTTTGTATTATATTATATAATAGTTATTGCTAATACCAACTAATAATAATTCACAATAAATATAAATTACATAATTATAAATAACTATTTCAAGTTATTTATATTAACATCAATATTATCTTTTTCTTTTGTATGTCATGAAAAAAATTTCTTTAAAAATAATTAGTAAATTGTTTTAATAGCATAATCAAACAACTTTAGAAGCTTATAAACAATTGTTTTAATAATAATAATAGTAATAATCAAACTGTTATTATCTAATGATAATAAACAATTGTTCATAATAATAAAATCGTTAATTTATTTTTCTTAATGATCAAATTTTTGAAAATGTAATATGTTCATTATCTAGAATTTTAATATAAATTCTCAAATATTACTTACTAATATTTTATATACATCTGTGCATGTGCACAAGATATCTACTAATTACTTGTGGACTCGAGAGTCTTTTCCCCGTGCATGAGGGTTGTCTCACCATTTTTTCGGATATTTTAGGATTTGTTTGAGAATTTTTGAATGTTTTGTTGTTTGTTTTTTGACAAAGTTCTTTTTTTTTTTCAAGTTCAACAATCTGATCTGATTTTGTTAACAAAGCTTAAGTTACAAAAAATGTGATTTTTTCTTAAAGTAAAAAGGGCAAAAATGTCTTTTCAGGGAGGTATCAGTAATAGGTTACCCATTATATATTTATATATCGGTTATCGAGGTACATCACTGTTTTACAGTAACCTCACTCAAAAGACACGCCCCTCATAATAGAAACACCCTTCGGACTTCGGACACACTTTGGTTCTCTGCTCCCAACAGAACACACTGTGGTAAAAAAAAAACGCTCAAAGGTAATGGATTTTTTCCTCAGTTTCGATTTTTAAGGATCTCCCTTTTCAAGAATTTTGCTTTCTCCATTTCGATTCACCTCCGTTTTCTGATCAATTCATGTTTCTCGTTGTAAAAATCCGTTCTTTATCCCTCTTGTCTGAAATTTAGGTCAGCTGAAATGGTGTTGTTTTTCTCCATTTTGATTATCAAGGTTGCCCTTTTCTCGGATTTTGGTTTACCCATTCTTGATTTACCTCCGTTTTTCCGATCAATTCATGAATCTTCGTGTAAAAATCCGTTCTTTTACTGGTTTTGTTTTATGAAAATTAGGTCAGCTGAAATGTATTGAAAAGGAACAGGAGATTTTTCACAACTAATCTCATATTAGGGTAGCCTTTCACGTGTATCCAAACTCTACCCTATTCGTTTGCTCGATTCTTATGGAGTTTGGGGGATTCGTCTAAAAAAAATTAAGGATTTTGATTTTTTACTTACCGTTGTTCAAAAGCTTGTATACTTCTTGATTAATGGTCTAATTAACACTGATTTCTTTTTATGCATTCGCAGGAAGCCGATTCCTTTCAGGTGTTTAATATTTGCAGTAAGGTGTTGTATTGTATATTGGTGAAAGAGTACATTTTCCCCCTTTTCGTTTCTCTTGTGATAGATTTTTCGGGGGCTTCTTTAGTTGTTAGATTAGATTCTTGTGTTTGAAAATGGATCAAGGGTTGGGTTCTCAGCCAAATGCTTCGCCTGGCTCGATCGACAAATCTAGGGTTTTAGAAGTGAAGCCGTTGAGGCGCCTTGTCCCGGTTTTCCCAAACTCAAACGGCTCGTCTTCAGTTTCAACCCCACATCCCACACCTTTTACTTGTATCTCTCCATCTGGTCCTTTCCCACCTGGAGTTCAACCATTTTACCCGTTTATAGCCTCAAACGGTGCTCGGCAAAACCCACCAGCCGCCCAAAATGATAATTTGGGCTTCGGTTTCGGTACCAACATACAATCTCCGATTCCCCTGAATTCCTTTAAGTCCCCAATATCCCAAGCAAATGGGTCGACTGGTCCCAAAAAGGCAATTGCCAAAAGTAATTCGAGTAAACGAAGATCTCGGGCCAGCGAAAGACCCGAAAATGGCCCCGGCTCCTACTCCGATTTCGATTTTGATTCCTTGGCTAATGACTTCATAACCTCGTTCAAGCTCGATGATTTCGAAAGCTTCAAAAAATCCCATACCGACAAGGAAGTAGTCGAAACCATACTCTTGGTCTTCGATTTGATACGCCGTAAGCTCACCCAGCTCGAAGAATCCAAGAACATCGTCCTCGGGCTTATCCGTCAGCCCGGCCCGAAAGCCGGGGCCCTTTTATCCTCCAGAGGACTCCGCGCGAACAGCTCCAAACGAGTTGGGCACGTGCCGGGAGTCGAAGTTGGCGACATTTTCTTCTTCCGAATGGAGCTTTGCATCGTGGGCCTTCATGCCCCGAGCATGTCGGGTATCGATTATATGAGCGTGAAGCTCAGCATGGACGAAGAGCCAGTTGCTGTAAGTATAGTCTCGTCCGGAGGTTATGACGATGCCGAAGGGGGTAATAATAATAATAATGGGGACGTTTTGATCTACTCGGGTCAAGGTGGGGTCCAGAGGAAAGACGGTCAAATGTTTGACCAGAAGCTCGAGAGGGGAAATCTTGCGCTCGAGAAGAGTCTCCATCGTGGGAATGACGTTCGGGTCATCAGGGGTATAAAGGACATTTCGGGCTCGATGGGGAAGATTTATGTCTACGATGGTTTGTATAGAATTCGCGAGTCGTGGGCTGAGAAGAATAAATTGGGTTGCAGTGTTTTTAAGTACAAGCTCGTTCGAATGCCCGGGCAGCCCGAGGCGTTTTCTCTGTGGAAAATGATTCAGCAGTGGAAGGATGGGAGTACGATTCGGGCGGGAGTGAACCTTCCGGATCTTTCTTCGGGCAGCGAGTCGCTGCCCGTGGCTTTAGTCAACGAGGTTGACGGAGAAAAGGGGCCGACTTTTTTCACGTACGAACGCGAATTGAAATACGGAAAACCGTTTTATAGTTCGAATCCTTCTCCAGCGTGCGGTTGTAAAGGCGGGTGTCAACCGGGGAACACCGATTGCCCTTGCAATCAGAAAAATGACGGTCTTGCCCCTTACTCTCCGCTCGGTGGTCTCTTGACCGAAAAAACGATAATTTACGAGTGCGGGAGAACGTGCCCCTGTCCTCCGAACTGCAGGAACCGACTGTCTCAGTCTGGAATTAAGGCTCGTTTGGAGGTTTTCAAGACGAGGAACAGAGGATGGGGGCTTAGATCGATGGACCCGATTCGAGCCGGGGCTTTTATCTGCGAATACGCGGGTGATGTCATCTCTTCGGCTGATGATGAAAGCAACAACATTAGTAATAATAATAATAGTATCAATTATATTTTCGACTCGACACGTTACTATGAGCCACAAGCTCCATTCCCGCTCGTTATAAACGCCAAGAATAATGGGAATGTGGCTCGATTTATGAATCATAGCTGCTGGCCGAACGTGATTTGGCGGCCGGTTTTGCGCGAGAACTATAACGAGACGTTTATGCATGTTGCGTTCTTTGCGGTGAAGCATATTCCTCCCATGCAGGAGCTCACGTTCGATTATGGGATAGTGAGGCCCGAGAAAGGAGGAGATATTGGGAAGAGAAAATGCCTTTGTGGGTCGTTTAAGTGCAGAGGGTATTTTTATGGATGATGCAAATGCAAACACGAGGTGGGGTAGGGGGTTCGTTCAGGTGCTTAAAGGCATGGTGGACTAAAAGGTTGGTTATTTTGAATATTTTCTCTTCTCTTTGTTATCCATGATGAAATCTTCGAATCATATTTTCGTGTTTAATTAGTTATTTCTTGTATTTCATTAGTTATTTCTCTTTATTGCTGGATGGTTCGAGTGTATACTAATGGGTTTTGGTGAACAGGGACAAAGCATGGATTTTTATTGCATACATTGTCTTTTGAAAAAAAATTAGGTGCATTTGATCGTTCTCTTTTCGAAAACCTCAAGATTTCGACAGGGGATGAATATGATCGATATTGGGAATATTTAAATAAACTATATGTGACCTCAAGATGTCGACAGGGGATGAATATGATCGACATTGGAATTATCTGAATATATACTATATGTGGTTATGTATTGATTTTTTTTTTCTTTTTCCCCCATTAATCCTCGTAGCGAAAGCCTTGCAAGCATTCGAATTTTTGAGAGGCAGATCACGTATAACAACAGGAAGCTATATTTCTCTCGTTAATGTTCATTCGATATGAATTCATTTGAAGTGATTAAATTAGTTAGTTTTTTCTTACTCTGCTGTGTTTTTTTCTGGCTGCAGGTTAGCTAATAAGAGCTTTTTCAATGGAGTTAGCAAGCAAGAAGTTTATGAAGGTCACATTTGCTGGGTTTTTTTTTTTTTTTTTTTTTTTTTTTTTTTTTTTTTTTTT